TGCCTCAGGAAATCCTAATCTGCACATTGCCGGAAACAGAAAGAGAATTATCATGTGCATCTTCACATATTGTTCGCCACAGATACAGAGACACAGAGAAGATGCTGGGCAATCGGACTTTTGATTTGAACCCAGTATGACTATTTATATGCTTTTATGTTTTTCTGTGCACAAACTGCAGTGTAGTGAAGAAACCTGGGGGCACACCTTCTTTTGTCTGGGACATAAAAAACTTTGTACCCTTTGTGTCTGCAATTTCCATTGCCTTTTAATATCAGTTACCCTAGACTGTCCTACAATGATCTAAAGGCAGAAAGGTTTAAAAGAGAGAAGTGATTCTATTTCTCCATTCAGGTGTAATTTGTATTCAGCAAAAAACAATGCAAACAATAATACAAACAATTTGGTATTATAACTACAGGTTGGCAAAGAAACAAAGCCACTCTCCCTTTGGTGCTAAAGAAGAGGCAGCTTTCAGAAGGTGCTAAAACCAGTGACTCAGTCCTCAGGCACATAGTGATAGCCAGTGAAACTTCCTTTTCCTGACATAATGCTCCTAATCCACAGCAGCTGCATGTTCTCAGCTATTAGGATTTTATTCCTTATAATGGCCTCTTCATAGGAGAAAGCATGAGGAAAGTGATTTCGATAGACATGCCCAACTTGGGAGCATGGAATAATTTCTAGAGCTGACAGATCATGGAACCTGAGGATAGATTTCTGCAAGGAAAGCAAGTCTCCATACCCCAAGATGTTCTGCATTTAACTGCTTTTATAAATTGCTTCTTGACTTTTAATTCAGCTTCCTTAAAAGCCCAACAGTTACCACAGCTTGATGTTTTAATTAAGGTTCTTACCCTTATAGATAGCTCCAGATTTTCTGCTCCCCACATGGTCATGTCAGAATCATAAGCTCCAGTGTTTTGGAAGAAATGTCGATCCATGGCCACCACTGCACCAGCTACCACAGGACTCCTGTGTAGAAAATAGTTTGGAAGTGAAAAATGTAGGGAATTATGGGAAGGGTGAAAATCCCACCATTTCCATAGAGACAGTATTACAAAATGACTGAATACTACTCCATATAAGCTTGAACGAATTGATTATGTAATCAAAAGAAAAAACAACTGGCACCTAATTCTAGGATTTTCATGGGGAAGGGAGCCAAGAGCTGAATTATCAAATAAGGCTCAGAACATGGAAATGCTACGTACATGTACACCCAAAACAACAGACAAACAGGTCATGATTAAGACATCTCTTTTAACTCTGTATGATCCATCTTTTGCTTTCCTTACAAACCTCCACACTTTGTCTGGTCAGGTTGTATACTGCATGTGTGGAAAATATTTGTCATGTTGAAAGTATGACTGCAATCTAGTTAGAATGTTTACTAAAGGTCAAGCAAACACAGTGTAAAGCAAAAACCTATCCCTTCAAAAGACGTTAACTGGGCATATGCAAGTAATCACCTTTCTCTTCTGTTAGCTGGAAGATGACCCAAATTGTACAGTTTTGCTGTTGAGCGAAGCAGAGGCATATTGGCTGATAGACTGTTACCTGATAGGGCTGATGGGAGACTGTCGTACCTTCTCTTCACGCTCTGGCACTCGTTCCCAATGAAAATCTAGTTTCCAATCAAAACCACCTCGATGCAGGCCTACAGAGTGATAGTACTGAAAAGTCTTCCAGTCTATGACATCTATGACAGGGGAGACGACACTGTTTCTGAAAAAGACAATATAATTTATTTTCAAAGCCAAAGCACAAATTAAGTTTACTACTCTGTTCACAAGCACTCCTCTAGATAGAAGCTCAGGTGTTCACTGCATGGGAATACTGAGCCTGCAGTGAGGAATCTAAAAATCAACAATCTATTGATAACCTGTACCTTGCATTGTCATTTAAAGCTATTCAGGATTTTGCTATGAGTTAACCATCGGAATTCTTATAAAGCTATTTCACACAGAGGCCCCAACCTCTGATGTTACAGGCTCTGCATGGATGCAAAGTTTATAGCAAAGGATGATTTTGGTCTCACACATTTTACCATCCTTTGACTTCCCTGTAGATGTTCCACACATTTCCACCAGTGAGCTCTGTGAAAATGAACTATGCAGAGGATAGCGCTAAAATGACTCAGTTATTCCTTTGTTTCCTAGTAAGAGCAGACTGTCCTACAATGATCTAAAGGCAGAAAGGCTTAAAAGAGAGAAGTGATTCTATTTCTCCATTCAGGTGTAAACCCAGCCTTTGTAATATGCAATAATAGGCACTCTTAGAAACAAACATTTGGTTTATAAATAGATGAGAAAATTTTACAGTCACCTGCAATATTTGTAGGAATATGCATTAAGGCAGAGATCTGCTGTCATTCTCCCACAGGACTCAAGAAGAAAGACTTGATACTAAAAACAATGAAGCTGATATCCTCCCCTGATTCTCTTGATGATACTGCTGTGATATAGTTTTGTATCCAGGACAGGAGCAACTACCTCAAACTCAAGCCGGCAGGAGCGTTTCTACTGAAAGCTGTATTTAACCTTTACTCACTAACAGCATGAAAAGGAAACTAACTGCTTCTAGAAGCTACTAAAAGGTAGTGTCCTGATGGACTTAAGCAGATGTATTTTCTTCGATGTGCTGAGAAAAATCCATCTAACAAGTTAAATAGATTTTATGACTAATCTTCAAAAAATGAAAAGTCACTGTAATTGTAATTTCTACAGCCTGCTGCATTCTCCAGTGTATAAGTATCTCTGACAACTGTCTCGTTAGGAGTGTAGTTGGAGTTGTATACTTCCCACCTCAGTTTGTTGTTACTTGCTGAAATGCATGCTAGCTATTGCTTCTTGTTTATCCATTCTCATCCAGACAGGACTGAGGAACTAATCACGCAGGGTAGTTTATTTTACAGTTTCAGAGTCAAGAGGGAAATATCAGGAGAGCGTATTTGAGTGGAAGCCAGAGGAGGCAGTGTAGACTAAACCATTCAAAAACCTTGACCATAAAGACCAGACTATTCAAGATAGTTCAGAGACAATGCAGATACTCGGTTATGCTCAGATGTATTCTGGATCAGATGATCCAGACATTTTAGACTATCCTATATTTTCATATCATTTCAGCCATTTAAGACCTGTCCTTCTTTTTGTATCCACCTTAAAATTGTAGCCACTACAAAACTCCAAATTCCAATGATGCTTCTAGCATCAGTACAATTGCTCTTAAGAGTAAGCACCACAGTAGTAGTTCTTGTTGAAATAATCCTTTATTTTTGATGCATGCTTTTGCTTTGCTGGTTATTGGGCATTGATTCTTCAATGCCATTCAAGAATACCCGCAGTGATGTAATGACTTGTTATGGTTTGGAGACCGAGCAATTATCCAAACTATCTGCAAATAATGACTTGGAAAACTAAGACAGCCAAAAATAACTCATCAAATAGGTCACATTCTACCCTGGCTAAAGTCACCAATAAACCAAACCAAAATAAAATCTAACCTCCTTTCCGACGAAATCATACTGCACAAACTGATAACTGTGTTTTAGAGCTATTGCTCCAGTAGCTCTTTCAGAATGCCAAGACTAACAGTTTTCAAGAATATGTTTATAAGTATAATGCTAGATCTTCACCTAGTATAAACTGGTGTAGCTCTGTGAAAACCAATAGAAACACACATTCTTGAAACTTTAAATATTAGGAGTGTGTTTCTGGTCTGAAATAGAGGAATCCAGTAACTTTATCTTGTATGAAAACTGGTCAATGTCCATTTTGAATCTTAATCAAGCAGTGCTCTACCTATCTTTTGGTATTAATGGTTTTTAATAAAAGATCTGTTTTCTGCATATTCAGTGATGGTTCTAAATGCAAACTTGCAGCAGAAAGTAATTGAAAGTTAGATGTTCTTAGCTATTCTTTTTGGTTTTAACTCGGTAACTGGCAGACACTCAGCAGCTTCTCGGCACTTTGAAATGAAACACACACTGGCAAACTACTGCTAATTTTATTCTGTGGAATCCAAGGAAAGGAAAAAACAGGAAATTCAAATACAATCAGCAGCAAGGCTTTGACCCATTTGACTAATTTGCAAATATTTCAAATGCTTGGAACACACATGAACTACAAAAGGTCACAATTCCATGAAAAAAAGCAACCCAAACAAGAACAATTTCCTGGTTTGGGATTTCTCAACCAAATACAATTACGAATGAAATGTCTTCCCATGACCCTTTACAGTCACCACGGACATTATGTTCTTTTCTAATTTTAGAATAAATAACATGAGGAGAGGAAGATCTCATTAACACATCTGTTTTGAAGTTTTAGAGTCACTGGTTTTTGAAAGTGCTTTTTGTGGATTTATACTTTCTTTTGCTGGGAAGGGAACATATTTTAATCTGTTTAAATCCCCCCTTAAATACGGAACAACAACAACAACAAAAAAAAAAACAACATGAAAATGATGCCTCAACCAGTTTCAGAGTGGATAATTTTCTGCAAAAATTAGATAGCTAGGAAATCCAGGCAGTTCAAGTTCTCTGACTCTGCACGGAGTCGAAACTCCAGTAAGTAACTGAGAACCCAAGCTGGTTCCACATGTGGCACTGCATTTTCACTGAAAGCACCCTGTGCTGGCTGACTGAAGTCTTCAGGGAAATAATAGTGCAAAACATTTTAAATTAGATAGGGTTAATAAAAAGATAAAATGCAGTGATCAGGAATGGTAAAGCTATGGTACAAAGGATTACTTAAATACTGCCCTACAGACCAACTCCAGACTAACTTAGGGCATATGAACAGTCTCCTTGAACATGCTCATTTACTAAGCACTAAACATTTACTTCAAATCTCTGCTAGATAGAGTGCTAAGGGAATGCTTGATTTAAAAAAACAAAAATCTTTTGAACCTGTCCTTTTTGTTAAAATATTCAAATTTGTATGTGGGGGTACCAAAATCTGTAGGAGCAACCAATACCTTTTTACACTGGCCAGTTAGGGCACTGTGCCATGAATCATGCCTAAAGCCTCGTTGCTCCTACTTTTGGCAGTGATATGTACTTTTAGCTTCAGATTCTCATCTTCAGTTTCTTTAACTTCTCTAAAATAGGTCACCTACTGATCCTGATCAACTGTGAAAGATTGTAAAAAGATAGCATGTCTTCACAATATAACATGCAAATGCAGAACATTAATTTACTGAATTCAAAATTAGGGTTATTGACAAAAGGATCAGGCAAAAAGAGAAGTCCCAGGAAGCAGGCTGTTATATGCGAAGTATATGGAAACTTTTCAAAAAAAAAGGACGGTAGCACAGAAATGCATGCTCAGATGCTGGGCTTGTGTGGGCTCTGGATGGATAACATCATGCTTCCCTGAGCCTGCAAGAAGGTAGAAAACAGATGGCTTATGTATTTGATAGCTTGAAAAGCTGGGGTATGGGCCTCGGAGAAGTGGAGAATCAGACGAAAAGAGACGAAAGAGCTGTTCAACTTTAGCGTAAAACATTTCCCTTCTCTCTAGTGTATTATCATAAACCTAGAAGCACACTGAAATCTTCTGGACAGCAAAAGTCTGTTTCTATTTCCGTATCTACACGATGAGGCTCCCACTCCTGAATGGGAGCAAACAGCAAACGAGATACCTTTCCACTTCTATGTTCCTTTCTTATTCTGTTTAACAGCATTTTCACTAAAGATTAGTGACCTAGAATCACAGAGCTAAGTAGAGGCACTTCGAATTTTAGAAACTAGATAGGTTTCTCTTAATAATATCAGAAGCTTCCATTTCCTAACGTAATATTTGAGCTGTGGTATAGGCAGTACACAAGCACAGAGGCAACAAGGAGCGGGGGAAAGGTCCCAAGGGAAGGTTACCACTTTGCAAGCTACCCCTCTGCCACAGTTATGGTGCCCATGCCTTTTTTAGAGGTGGAATTGTTTGTCAAGAATGTAATCAAGGTTCATTTTGCATTCATGCAGTATTCTCAGGAACCACTCTGGATCTTTTTTTTTTTTTCAACATCATCCTGCTTCAGCAAGACAGTCACTGTTTTTAGGTTAAAGGAACAACTTTTTCAAGGCTTCATGGCACAGTTCATTATATGCCCCCTCTGCCTTTCATTGCCTTTGGACTGAACATAAAATAGCAGCTGTCTCCTGGAAAAGGCAAACCCCTGAAAAGACAACTGTAATAATGGCACAGCTGCATTAGTATGCACCGTGCTACTCACCTGGAATTAGTTCGGAACACAAACAGTTGTCAAATGAAATTATCTTTGGGGCATCTCATCTAGTTTTCTAAAGTTGTCCAGGTGCCTACGGTATTCATCCCTGAATAATCAAAATGTCAAGGGATGCTTTACAAACCGCTGAACATTCGCTAGGCGATATGCTAAGCTGATGCACAGCTTCCCAGTTAATGGTTTAGGTATGGTTCACAGAACTAGTTCCAGTCAAGGTGCTCATAAATGCATGTGTAATGACTTTAGAAAGACTTAATACTTTTTGGGAGAATAATTTTGATTGGGTTAGCGAATAAAACCATCACATAGGGAAATGAAAAGTCATCACCCAGAGTAAGTAAAGTATCTGTCAAATATTTCCATACCTGTAAAATTGGGATAATTTTTCTCATGTTTGTCCTGTCATTACCACAGGCTACTAAGAACTGGGGGTATCTCCCTGTTTGTGAGTATATTCAAATCACAGAGAGGTCTCAGTTTGGGCAAGGATCTCTCAGCATTGCTCTAAGACAGGTCACAATAATAGTGGTAGATCTCATCAGGAGTCTAGAAAACTAGGCTTAACCACAATTTTCAAAGTTAAAATCTCCCTCCAGCTCTGTTAAGCTCCTGCAAAATTCTGAGCTTCAGAAAGGCTGTGGTTTTCCTTGTTGGCAAATAACTCTCTCTAGGTGATTAAGTGTTTTCCCATCCAGTCTCTCCAGCAAAAGTGCATGAGTTGCAGCTTGGTTGGTACATTAAGAAGAGGAAAGATGGATATTTCACCAGTCACTGTAAGCTTTTTTTCACTGTACTTTCCTCATTTGAGTAAGTCTCAGGGAGCACACATGATTCAATTTAACAGTTCCTCAAGTGCTAAATGAAGCCAAGTTGACTATGCTAATGCTTTACATTTCCATAGTGATCTCCATGCAAGCATTACAAGCAATTTAGGAAATATCATGAATTAACTTCCTTATCAGGTCCGTGTTATCACCATTCTTCAGCTGGGGAAAGAGGGATAGCAAGGGAAAGTGATTGCCAGATGCCTTAGAGCATGTCTTCCCTGTGCACAGGAGAATGGCGCAGGTTCTCCACACTAGCAGTGACAAAGCTTCCAGGGTCAGACACGGTGACTGACACAGCATACAGAAAGGCATGGTTCAGCCCATACTATTATGCTCTTCCACTCTGCTCCATTAATCCAATTAGCCATTAGCTAACTCCGTGTTAAATTCTGCCCTCCTGGAGGAATGAATGAGCAAGCATATGGGCCCTACAGAGGAAGAGAATCCCTTTCTCACTCCCTGGTGACAGTGCTACAGAAATCTCAGTGCAATAGTAAACTCGGTGGCTTTGCATTCCCTCAGTGGGGATAATTTTCAACAGTGAATCACTACACTAGTGCTGGGGTCCTAACTTCTCTCTTGCCATTGTAATTCTGCCTTCATTATGTCTCTCCTCTGAGACTTTCTGTAACTCTTAATTTCAGCAATACAGCCTTGAATAAGGACTGGCCAATTGATACAGACAGGAGTTTTGCATGAACATCCACAAGAGGCTGTAACTCAAGGCAGAAGAATCATGAAGTATATTCATAAACCATCTAATAAGTCAGCAGACAAAAAATAATCTGCTTTTCCATGGAGCATCTTTTAGAAAAGAATATTCCTGACATCCTAGGGCAGCATGACTCTTGCTTTCAGTATTCTCAATGTTTTCGTACAAATGATGTAATCATTTCTAAAAACTCACATTCGTTCTCTTATAAGCAAACATAATCAGCCATAAAAGCCGCTTGTTCCAGTGCCTGGGAACAGCCTTTGAAGGTCTTTAGTATGACTATTTAATGGTCTGGTAAGATTTTTAATGATTCTTTTTTTCTTTTACCCCCTCTAGCAATTATTAATTTTTTCCCAAGTGGCTTACGGTTAATGATAGACAAGTTAACGCACAGATTTTTATTTCAGAAAAGTCCCTTTAATGAAGGATTTACTGTCATGTAATTCTTGAAACATTTGCAGTGATTTAATCTCTTTGAAGGACTTGAGGACTGCACAGATGAGCTCAGCTGTAAATTAGAGAGCAGGCCCAAGCACTAAGCTAAGCATGAAAGACTCAGAAAATATGAACGTGTATCTTCCTCTGTCAGTTTGGTGTCAGTGAAGCACCTGCAATTATCTAGAACTGTCTAGGCTGCTCAGAAAGTCTTTTTTTCTGTGGAACAGAGACTGCACAGGTCACATTGGTATGTAGCCAAACTGCCTCAGGAGCACAAAGCATTTTATCCTTGGCTTCATCACTGAGATGGCTAAAAAAGTAAAAATAATGGAGTCTCGCAGTAGTTTCTCTGGTGGATGTTTGCCAATTTGCAAACATCTTGAGACTGCATCCTTTTTAATTCAGACCACCAAGAAGCCTTCTTATAGCTCAAACTGGATACAAACTCTGACAATTCAGCCATACTGGGTGTGAAGTGAGGGTTATCAGCTGTGTCATCTGTCCTGCTTCCCACATATCAGAGTGATGCATGTGGTGGTAAGGTAGAAAATAAAAGCAATGTGACCAGAAGGAACAAGGTAACCAAGAAAGGATTGAAAAAATGTGCAAGTACTTCCAAGCAAATCTTTTTCAGCAGAAACTATCACATGCCAGGATCTCAGAGTTCACGGGGATATTTACCGGTTGCTGGACAGCCTGGCTAGGAGGGGTTCCAGCCAGCCCTTCTGACACTCGCAGTGTGAATCCATGAAGACAAGCACATCCCCAGTTGCCCGTGCAGCTCCTAGCATCCGACCTCGGATGACTCCAAGCCTCTTGTTGCTCCGTATAAGTTTCACACCTTCCAGCTTAGAGATGTATTCACTCAGAGCTGACTTCAGGGGCCCTGTCAGAAACAGAATGGTCACCGAAATGTTTCAGCTTTGATTCAAGCCATTATAGAAAAGCAACAGGCAGTAGGAGATGCCACTTCTTGCTGGTAAAATGTTTTGGGGGCATTTGTTTTACATGACAAAGTAGGCCATGTTCCAAACATTCCCACAGCAGCATAATGTCAAAGAGAAGTAGAGACTAATGGAAACTGAGATTCACTAGGTGTGAAGCTATTCCTGTGGGAAACTTTATAGCCTTCTCTCCTGTTTTCAGCAAGAGGTGGATGCTCTCATCATTTCACAAAAGGCGCAAATCAGAGTGAGATACTACAGGTGTTTGGCTTTCCCAAGCACTTTGGATTACTTTAGCAATGTGGAGTTTTCCATTCTATGCTTCAGCCAAAGTCTAAGTCTGGAAATTATTACAGCGGATCTGGTCCGGTGGGGAAGGCTAACATTTGCATACTGTGATCTTATTTTAAAGTAAGAGAGTTTAGAGTGACTGAAAATTATGCGGAAAAAAGAAACTTATTTCAAAGTTGAAAGACTAAGCTGAATTCTAGGGATGGAAGAGTGAAACCTGGCAGCTGGCTCACGGCTCTGCTTAGCTCTCTTCCTGAGGGTCCTCTTTGCTTTCTACTCTCCTCGGGCACTTCTTGGAGGAGGACAGTTTCTCCCCTGAAGCTTTGGAAAAAAGAGCTCACATACAGAGAAATGGGGCTACCTTGCTGGCTGAGATCGTCGACTAGGATGATATCCTTCAGAGAGGCCTTTGGGGCTGTGTCCATGATGCTGTGCACAGTTCTCAGCAGAGTAGACCAAGCTTCGTCATGGAAACAGATGATGACACTAGCAGTAGGCAGACTGGAGCCATATTCTTGCTGCAGGCACCTGCATGGGATCAAATGAGGAAGACACTGGAAACACTGGTACAATTGGCTCCTTTTCTCTCAGAGCAAAGTTGTAAGCTACACCCAAACCTTCAGGGATGGAAAGCAGTCTAAGATCTTGGCTCACTTCTAATGAAGAAAAGGAAGTATTAAGGTATCCAAGACTGGAATAAGTCTAAATATGGGAATGACACTATAAAAATTAAAATACAAAAAGAGGAAAGTTTTGGTGTAATCTGGGACACATTTTTTCTGCTGTGGCTCCCTCAAAACACAGACTTCAAAGAGAAGGCAAAGAAAAACTGAAAAGACAATAAGACAAAGAAGAGAGGGGGATAAAGCAGGTCAGTCAGCCTCCACTAACTGCCACAGTTTTGCAAGTAACAGAGAAAAGAGCAAACTGAAATGTAGTACCTTTAAGACTAACAAGTAAAATAACTCATCTGCACAACAGATCAGTATACCTGTGATGTGCGTGACCAGGCTTATAGTGAATAAAGCCAACATCTCAGTCCTGTACAGGAATGAAACGGATTCTTACATGTGCAATGAAAACAAATATAGATACATCTCACAGAATCACAGAATGGTGGGGGTTGGAAGGGACCTCTGGAGATCACCTAGCCAACCCCCCTGCTAAAGCATGTTCACCTAGAGTAGGTCACACAGGATCACGCCCAGGTGGGTTTTGAATGTCTCCAGAGAAGGAGACTCCACACCCTCCCTGGGCAGCCTGTTCCAGTGCTCTGCCACCCTCACAGTGAAAAAGTTTTTCCTCATGTTCAGGTGGAACTTCCTGTGCTCCAGTTTGTGCCCATTGCCCCTTGTCCTGTCACTGGGCACCACTGAAAAGAGCCTGGCCCCATCCTCTTGACACCCACCCTTTAGATATTTATAAGCATTGATAAGGTCCCCTCTCAGTCTTCTCTTCTCCAGGCTAAAGAGCCCCAGGTCTCTCAGCTTTTCCTTGTAGGAGAGATGTTCCAGTCCCCTCATCATCTTCATAGCCCTCTGCTGGACTCTCTCCAGTAGTTCCCTGTCCCTCTTGGACTGGGGGGCCCAGAACTGGACATAGTACTGCAGATGTGGCCTCACCAGGGCAGAGTAGAGAGGGAGGAGAACCTCCTTTGATGTGCTGGCCACACTCTTCTTCATGCTCCCCAGGATACCATTGGCCGACTTGGCCACCAGGGCCCCTCCCAGCTTGCTGTCCACCAGGACTCCCAGGTCCTTCTCCACAGAGCTGCTCACCAGCCGGTCAACCCGCAGTCTGTACTGGTGTGTGGCATTATTCTACCCCAGCTGCAGGACCCTACCCTTGTCCTTGTTGAACCTCATCATGTTCCTCTCTGCTCAACTCTCCAGCCTGTCCAGGTCTCACTGAACAGCAGCACAGCCTTCTGGTGTGTCAGCCGCTCCTCCCAGTTTAGTACCATCAGCAAACTTGCTGAGGGTGCCCTCTGTCCGTTCATCCAGGTCATTGATGAGTATGTTGAACAAGACCAGACCCAGTACTGACCCTTGGGGAACACCACTAGCCACAGGCCTTCAGCTAGACTCAGCACCACTGATCACAACCCTCTAAGCTCTGCCATTCACCTGGTTCTAAATACACCTCACTGTGCACTTGTCTATCCACACTTCCTCAGCTTACCTCTGAAGATGTTGTGGGAGACGGACTTAAAAGCCTTGCTGAAGTCTAGATAGACAATATCTACTGCTCTCCGCTCATCTAACCAGCCAGTCATGCCACCACAGAAGGCTATTAGATTGGTCAAACATGATTTAGGGAAGTAATGTACCAGTCTTTGTTCAGAGATACAGGACACACTATCCAGAAAAGGCCTTCAAATGCCTATTGTAGAGATGCAAAGACTGTGCCCATATATCTTCTTTGCTTACCTTAGAAAACATACTTTAAAATATTTTCATTTCCTGAGTAGCAGTCATGCAGTTTCCTAGCTCATTTAACCTCTAGCAGCAAGAACTCCTTCAAGGAATTACGGAATTGGCTGAGTGTGGCCCATTGTTATTTCAGCATTTTTGTATTGCCAAGCAAATCATCATGCAGATTTTACAGCGGTTGTTAAACAATTAGCTACTCAGCAGAAGCTCGTGTAAGGGCTATCGTTTTAATATTGCTATGTTTATCACCATTTTACTTAGTGCTTTTATTCATGGACTGAAGCCCTATGATGCTAGGCACTACCCAGACACAAAGATGCTTATTGTTTAAGAGAATCCATAGTCTGAATGATTTAATAGCAAATACAAATAAATTACTACTATAGATACACCTTTGGGAATAAATATTTTAAATGAGCACAATTATAATAATTTGTTATAGTTTATAATATTTCACATTAATATCTTTTTTGTATAGAGAGGCAAATTTTCTTGATGATTTTTACATTATAATGAATCTATCTTGTCCTTGGTTTACTAATTTTCCATAATCAACAATGGTGTTATTTCACACTTTCATATGGGATAATTGCTTCCATAAAAAAAGAGAAAAGGATACTCTCACAACTTGGCAGTGGTTTTATTTTCAGGCAGAAGAATCTACATATAATTAAGAAAAGTGAAGATCTGATGCAGTCTTTTTACTACCAGGCAGCTTCCAATCAGGAACATTCAATACAGCTATAAGCACCTGTATTTTGCACCATAATACTACAATGCTTTGTTGCTAGTACTGTGGTTATACCAAGAAAATAATGCTGTTGTAAAATCTTAATTGGAGAAGAACTGAAAATAACTGTACTTGAATACATAACCTAGGTGGTGAGTGCTTGGTTGCCATGGAGATTGGCAAGGACTTGCAATAGAGATATCTAATCTTCAGGAAAATGCAAAAGGGCACTGGTATACAGAAATACCTTCCCTGTAATTTGGGAGCAGTTTCATAGGCTGTCCATCATAAACTGGCATTTCAAAAAGTCAGGGCTGTGACTGATATAAGACATAGTGATTTAATCCAGTTTGTGAAAAATAAGGAATTGTCACAGGCAGCAATGAACAGGAGAGCAACTCTGACACGGCAAAGGCACTGCCGACGGGGACTCCCACTCACCTTCAGGAGAATGTCTTGTTAAGACTCAGCTCCCCACAGCACTCAAGTGGAAGCTATACTTTTGTAATGTAACTTAAGACCTTTTTAGGTACATTGTGAGTTTCCGTTTGCCTGGATATATTTGACACTCAAGCCCAAGAGAGAAAAAAAAAAAGGGTTTTGGCAGAACTCCCACCATAAAAATCACAATGGCAGGCTTGATTCAGGTCCACTGTCCCAGGGGGGTGTCAACAGCAGTTGGACCAACTGATAGCAGCAGAAAGCACTCTGAGGGATGAAGGTACCTCAGAGGATGAGCCTCCATGCAGAACAACTACTTTCTAGTACAATCGGGCAAGTTATTAGGCTTTTTCACCCAGAATCCCTGGCTGTGTCAAAACTGGTGCTCAAAGTAAATGGGGCAAAACCAGGTACCTGATTCATCTGTTGGGGTATATTTTACTGTGGGATCAGTAGGAATACTGGAAGAGACCGTTTCATGCATCTACTTTCTGAAAAGTAGCACAAAACATTCCCCTGGCAAGGCATGCAGAGAGCTGTGGGTTATGTTGGAAGCTAGGGTCGGGTGAGAGATATCTAAAGTATCGCTTTCCAGGTGAGGAAGCTGGATCCTGGGCTGGCACAGCACAGCCTGCAGGCTCTGGTTTATTTCCAGCAGAGCTCTGTACTCTTCACATAAGAAAGTGTAGTTTTGCTGCTCATTGCTCCAATGCAAAGCACAATAGAACTCTCTGTGATTTTCGAAGGAACAGCAGCTAAGTATATCTTATGGCACTTACCTTACATCTTACACTCTGGTTTAAGAGTAAACATGAAGCATGCAAGCATGAAGTCTGGCTAGCCTTATTTTACAGAGTCTGGAAGTGCTTCACAATTAGTAGGCACAGTTTCTGGTGTGAAGAATTTGCCATCAAATCGCAAGTGAAATGAGAGAGACTGAGTCCATGGAGCTAACTCCCTGAGATGCCTAAAACTGGTTGGGTTCTCTTTAACTAAACAATAACAGACATTATCAGGAACAACATGAGTCAAACAGAATAGAGTAATAGCCAATCTGATTCATTACTGCTTCACTCTCATTTTACACTGCTATAAAACTGGACTGACATAGTTGTGAGCTAGGCCCCCAGAGTAAATTATGCCTAAAAAATATAATTTTGGTTTGTGTGCTACGCCATAAAGGACAGGACTGGCTTAGAGGTAGACCTCTGCTGCAGGTTTATGATCTGGATTTAGATCTGAACAACAGCAAAGCCTCAGATGTCCAGATCTGCCGTTTCAATCTGGGCTCTACAGGCTGTGGTGTTGACAGCTCTTTAGGCTGTAACTAGTCAGGCAGCAAAACACATCCAATAGCTCTGAGATCATGGCTTAAATGTTACCAAGATTTGTATTAACTAAACCTGTCTCTTGTTGGATGGCCCTTCAGTGGCCAAAGCAAAACTGGGTTTTGGCTCACATCACAGACATTAAACCAGGGTCACCATTCCTCCTTTGAACATTACATAGTTCAAAGAGTTGTCAGTGAAGCATGGTGAAAAATAACTGAAATAATATCAGCATTTCATTATTCAGTGGAATTACCCAAATTAATACTGAACCTAGTCAGCAAGTGTAGGTCAGCAAGTGTAGAAAACACTGTTTCATTTCTCTTTCCTTAAGACTGTCCCCTTAAATTAGAGCCACCATCTGTCTTTAAACATGTGAAAATGACCACTAGAAAAAATATCATATATATTCTGTGTTTTACTTAAAATGCTTCCTGGCGCAGCTTTCCACTGTGTTCTGGGGGAAAGCTACAATATCTTTTGTTACAGGAGGAAGAAAAAAAGATACCCCCCCCCCCCATCCCTTTCCCTCTCATCCGTGCAGGGGAGCATAGGCATGCTTCACCCCTTTTTAAGAAGTCTGATGAGCTGCCCCTC